GTCCGCGATCCGAAAGAAGTGCCTTTGGACGTCTCCCCTTTCTCACGATCCAGTTCTCTACCAGTACTCTGACAATGGTTTCTGCGGTCTTGTTTGGTACTGGGTATGCTGAGCACCATTTGCAGGAAGCATCAATTATAGTGACTGCATATATATTCTCACTGCTGGTTGGACCCAACTCCAAAACGTCCACCCCACACAATTTGTACGGTGTCTGCTTGACCACAGGTTTCAATGGTGGCACTCGTCTAGCTTGCTGGTTGACCGCCACACAAATTAAGCACTCCTTGTGCCATTTCCTCACATCCTTGAGCCAGCGTCTTCCAGTAATATGATTTTCCGCGAACATAAATCTCCTGCAAATAAGCCGCTGTGAGCTTCTTGAAACAGCCTTTTCCGATCACTCTTTGGTACCACTTTCAACACATCACCTTCCCCGTCAATGCGGAGTAGTGCCCCTTCTTCTAACATATAATTATTCACCTGTATTCCGCTCTCTAGCTTCACTTTTACGTCCTCAAGTTCAGGATCCAGCCTCAGTTCTCCCATTTCATTCTTCGAACACTGTATGCTCGAAACAATAATCTCCTCCTGTGCCAGTGAAGACTACTCATTGTTCTCGTCCTTCTCCTCTTCATACAATCGGCATAGCTTATCTGCACATCTATTGGCTTTACTCTTAATGTGACGTACCTCCAGCTGATACGTCTGTAATTCCAATCCCCATCGCAGAATTCTGTTCGGAACATTTCGGTTTTGAGTAGCGCCAATAATGGCTGATAGTCAGTTAACACCACGACTGTAGTACTATAAATATACGATTTGAATCTCCGCAACGAAAACAGGAGCGCCAACGCTTCCAAGTCGGTCACGTGGTATCTCGCCTCCGCTTTCGAGCATGCTTTCGGCACAAAATATATTGAGCGCATTTCCCCATCTTCGCTCTTTTGTGCGAGCACAGCCCCGACTCCACTTTGACACGCGTCTGTAGTGACGTAAAATGGGGCCCCACGGCTTATCGCTTTCACTATATTCGGCCGCGTAAGTACAGGTGCCGTAACCAGTGTTTTTCTTGAGATTCTCAAATGCATTATCCTTTCGTTGTCCCATCCGATCGTTGCGTTCTTTTCAG